TCTCTAAGGCTGCAGAGTCAGTACCTATATGAAATTAAGTCTGAGGCTTCGACATACCAGTATATACCATCTGTTCTCTAAAATAGAGAACTAAGTGATTACAATTTGAATAATAAGAATATTGAGGCAACTGTATATAAGTTTTCCAGTTATTATTTAACCTTTTCCCAAAGGTAGCACTAAATTTATTTTCTCCCAATAACAAAGATAAAGAATTTACATAATTATACTAACCATCACTCTTTCATAAAGACATAAAAAAATCTTATGAAATTAATGAAGCAAGTTTTGTGCACTAAATTTCAACTGAATTTCATGATTGTCTTCTAAGGAGATCATTATAAATTCTTTTCCTCAGCAACAAAGAGGCACAGATGGAATCATCCCTTGCCCACACATTTAAGCTTTTTGTTTTTTCAAAAAAAAAGTGCAGTGATGAAACCAGTAGGGGAGAGACCCTGAAATTTTATATATAAAGAAGGAGAAAACATCAAAAATGTTTAAAATAGAAGGTCACAACACCAAAAGCAATCGGGAATTAAAATGTAGAAGACTCCTATATTAAATCCACAGTTCTTAAAATAAATCCTTATGAGATGAATGTATGAAGCAAGTGAGGCAGAAACACATTTAACAGTATACTATGAGCCCATCACATGTATATCTAACAGGCTCCTTAGGCATGAAGGGATATGTAAACAGGCACTACAAACAATTATTATTGCTTACATGTAGATTTAGCATTTCATGCCTGACACACAGGAATCATTGGTGGTAAGTATGTCAAGTCCCATTCCTTCCAAAAATTGAAAGTGAGGTTTACTCTAAATCAATGCAAAGGACTCCATTTTCATTACATTCAGAGGTAAAATATGATACTGACTCATAGTTTAGTTACTATCTCAAGAACACTTGCAGTGTTGCAATGACGTATGGACTGCATTTGCTCCTGCAGTAATCTTGCTGTCACTTTGACTTTCTAGTGAAATGAAGCATACTGGATATTAAATTGATTTTATATATCAGATTTAAAATATTCAACCACTAACATGAAATGGAATTGTTCTACACATTTTAAGTACTAATTTTGTCTTTAGCCAACACATCTGACTCCATTCCATAAACTACTTCCTACTTTATTCTTACTTTCCTTAATTCCTTGCACACACTGGGGTGGGGGGAGTTCCCTGACTGTCAGGTCTTTCCTACTATACACATATGAGAACACATTTCATGACTACTTCATGTGTCCAGAAGGCTGAAAACAGCTGTGCTAAGGTTTGGCTTCAATCTGCTGCTCCGTTTCTAAATAATAATTGCTAATGTCATGTGCAAGAAAAAAAAGTGAACATTAGTATTCCCCAAACAATCACCAGAACGTATAAATAGGTGAGCACGGCTCGGTTCTGATTATCTGATAGCATTACAGTCATGCTCAAGGTGCCACGTGGGGAGATCAAAACTCAAAGACTCAGGCTCTTGGCATATGAGTCTGGGTGTGGAGGAAAGAAAACAAAATTGGTCTCTGGGGACAAGCTTCTGTGGATTGTCACTGGCACTGGTTCTGGAGAAGGCAATACACAGTTTCCAGGATAAAAATAACATAAGGACTTGCCAGCTGACCTCAGCGATGACACAAAGATAAAGAACAGGGAGGTCCCTTTTTCTCCCCCAGACAGCTGAGCCCCTGCCAGGGAGCAAATGACAGCAACTTAAAAATTCTTTTAAAACAGTATTTAAAAAATTATTTTGAATTACAAAAGCTCTGATATTCGTGATCAAATGAAGGTTATGTCCTCCTCTTGAACATCTGTTAAAAGTTCAAAGAAATCAGCTAGAATCAACACATTCATAAGAAAATTCAAAACCTATCTTTGAAGGCCCCTAGATATACCAAGTATTGTTGATAGCAAAAATAAAAAATTTAAGGCCCTGTATAAAGAAAATATTTTCCCAAATGGAAAATGCAAATTCTCCTTTATATTTTTTTCTCATTTAAACTAATATATGCTACAACAATGACTCATGCTGTCATTCCAAAATTAATTTTAGGCTTTATGATTTAAACACAGACACATCTAAGGGGAACCACAGATAAGAGATAAAATAAATGAGGTTATTCATATTCTATGAAATTACTTTATTTCAAAATTAGCCCAAATAAAAAATTTGTCTTTGTATGATTAAATCTTAGCACTAATCTCAAGTTAAATTTTACATTTTCTAAGAGGTATGATGCTCTCACAGAACGAAAGGTGATTTTCTGCTCTCTTGTTTCTGAGGAAGGAGCACTAGGCGGATGACTTACACATGGGTTAGCCAGAGGACTTAGTACCTGATTTAGAAGACAGTAAATTGTTTTCAAGGTGTTAAAAGGTAATGATCACTTTTAAACAACATCTGAAGACAGACTCACTATTCAAATCAAGCACAGCAGAGTGACACTCTTCAGTTCAGAGAAGCGCTCACAGGAGATGAAGTATTGCCCTGGACAGAGCTGCTGTTCTACTGGTGAAGACTACATTGACACAATGTTCAGGGCTTTTTAAGAGCCAAGCAGAATTATAAACTGGCATTTTAGGGCATGCCTTCATCTATAGATTCCTCCTTGCTTTTTTGAAGAAAAAAAAATGTGAAGCTTATTTACTACTGAAACAAAGTGAAGCAGGCCTCTTCACGTCATGAACATGATGAAACACTTAGCAGATTCCAGTAAGAGCCACATCAATTTTTGAGTGTCTTCTAGAGCTGGCAATATGTTGACTTTGACAGACACATGCTGTCATTTAAACCTCACAGATATCAGCACAGCTGTGAGGACAGTTCATTCTGCTATGCTGCCTCTTACAAATCATGATTCCATAAACTCCTTATGCTTCCAGATTAGACCATCTACACATAACTTTTTTCTGTCACTTTTGATTTCCCATACAGAACCAGCTGAAGAGATATAAGTAAATATCAGTGAGAATAAATTTTATATGGAATACGAAATAAAAGTGGAGTTTAAGCAATAATACCTTATCAATCAAAAAGGAAAAATTAACCTTAAATATCTTGGCTAAAACTGATAAATCCTTCAGTTAATTAATTATACCATGTGTGTGAAACTCTTTATATTTAAGTACTAGTCAGAGGCTTGCTTCCTAGAAATAGAACATAACAAACTGTATCTATTGCTGTTCTCCCCACATTTCCCAGCATCTAGTGCGGTGGTTCTCAATCTTCCTAATGTTGCAACCCTTTAATACAGTCCCCCATACTTCATAGCTGTAATTTTGCTACTGTTATGAACTGTAATGTAAATTCTGTGTTTTCTGATGATCTTGGGTAATCCCTGTGAAAGGGTTGAGAACCACTGATCAAGTACAAGAGAGGGTCTCAAAAAAAAAAAAAAACCTGCTGTAAGAATTAGTAAACAATTAAAAAAAATGTCCTTTACAAACTTTTCCTGTAATTAGCTTATGGAATAATTGTAGACTCACAAGTAAGTTACAAAAGGTCATAGAGAGAAACCCTCATGTCCCTTTACTCCATGTCCCCAAACTGGTTATCTCTTATAGGACATAGGTTCTCTTTGAGCGACTGTGAGAAAGTACAATTTTCTGGTGCTCAAAGTGGCCTTAGCCTCTCTTCATTTTAATGACAAGAAAAGGAAATGTGGAAAAAGCTGAATTATAGTCATATTTAAAAATAGAAAACTCTGAAAAAGACGGAAAGATCCTATCTCTTCATATATGAAACTCATGCCCAGAATCCCTTGAGGTATTCAGTAAGGAACTTCAAAATATTCCAAAACAATTTCAAATATCCTTATTTTCAAGAGACCTCATTAGATGGATACACACGATTCCACACATAATTTCACAAAGCTCTACGACACCCAAAGATTCCTCATGGGGGATATGGAAACAGCTCGGAGGGAAAGTGGGGAGGGGTAAATATGATCATATTTCAAGAATAAAGGAAAAAAATAAGCCCTAATAGTTGTGAAGAAAATGAGAGTTTATTCTTAAAGGCCTTACTGTGTCAGTGGTAGGACAAGCTAACCTCTGGGAAGACTGGGCTAGGTTAGTCAGCACTGCAGCAGGCTACCTTGCCACTAGGACTGCTGTGCAAAGCTCTAAGTCCAATACAAGGCGGCCTCATAAATACCAAATAAATAAATAAATGAGCAATTGTATTAAAATTTGGGTAGGTTTACTTAATATACTAAACATTCTAAATTTCTTTAAAACAAAGAAACCTGGTTCCTAGTAAACTGAGGTTCTTATAGGGAAAAAGGGTTCCTTTTGTGTAGTAGTTTTCGCAAGGAATCCTGAAAACACCTATTCTGACAATTCTCTGAAACATTAAAAATAACATGACAAATCCATAGTCCATGTATAGGGTGGGTCCATGCATCTGTATTTAACTTTTAAGGCTCCAAGTGACTGTGAGTCTCATATTATCGAGATGAAGAAAAAAGGAGACCTGGTGAAAGTGGGTGCCTTGTCCAAGACGGTGACACATCTATCTAGTCAGTGACAGACTTGAGACCAGAAGCCAAGCAGGAATAGGATTTTTAAAAAATCACCATATATAGAAAAAATTAACTATAAAACATTTTCATCAAAACTATGAAGCATTTTTTAAATTGTAAAACTAGGCCAAAAACTGCCAACATGCCAACAACATAGTATACAGCTACTGTCACATTTAAGAACCTCAGGGCTCTTTAAAAGGCTTTTGTCTGAGACACGGTGCAGTATATGATCTTTGAGTTAACTGCCCACTTAGCAATGAGAACTTGTTTAGTGCTCTTAGTTGGTACCATGATGGGTTCTGCTGCAGATGCCCATCAAATAATTTGACTTTATAGCAAAAAGGAGTTTATATGTAGAATTGATACGATTTACTAGACACAATGACTTTATAATAGTGACATTGCTCACCAGAATAAGTAGATAATAAATTATTAACTATTTACTAAAATAGAATAGCTCCATTTTTCAACTTACCTTTAATGGAATCATTTTCGGCTCTCATTATGTCAATGAGTGAGCTCTCCAAAGAGTGCATGTCAAATGTCCTGGGGCGATCCTGTAAACACAAAATCACAGACCATTTTTAAAGAAATATTTTAAGGTTTGGAGATAACATAGTAGCAGAGCCCTAGCATGTATAAGGCTCAGTTCCTAATAACCTCCCTCCTCACAGGATTTACCTACACAAGGGGAAAATAAATTGCATTTGTTAGGACACAAGACAAAAAGTGCATTTACTCTAGCACTCCCAAAACATCAAGACCCACAAAAGTACATAAACCTCATTGGAGACTGCTTTTAAGCCACTGGCCAAAACAGCTTTATTCATTAACCAATAGTAATAAAACATTTTCATAACATACAGAGGGGATTCACACATCACTTTTATTTCTGACAAGAATTCAACAAAGACATCACTTAATAAAGTACGTTAATTAATAAAGCACAAACCATTAAAACAGCCTTCACATTAAGAACAGTCATGAATGTAAAAGAAAGCTAATCTCTAAGACTTAAGACAACTAGTAGGGTAAACCTTTCCACACTGTTACAACAACTCTCTATCAGTTTGGCAGAGCCCTGATGGTCAATTCCAGCCAACTGAATCCGTCTCAGATTGAGCCAGTTGAGTCAATGAGCCTCATATTCAGTGAGAGACCTTATCTCAAAAAACACACAGCATTCCAGAGGACTCCACAGGAACCTAACAAGCAGGGTTCTGTAGCCTTCTCTGCAGTTAAATGACTTTTCACTCAGTTTCTGTCAAGTTTTTGTTCTCGGTAATAAACTCAGGCCCTTAAGAATGCTAAGAATCCACATAACTCCTAATTACTTTTTAACCCAGAGTTTCAGCTTGTTTAAAACAGACAACAAACAAACATCTCTTAAACACCTTAGACTGCTCTACCATGCTTTTACTTTTATTTTTACTTGCTGAGATCTCACTTTATTTTAATATCTAACTTCTAGGTTAATGGGAGATATCGTCCACTCAAGATTATTTTCTGATCAACCTGACATTTCTCTGTGCTTTTTTCTGTATCACTTTGCACTATGCTTCCTAAAATAGGGACACTCCTCCTTATCTTGTCCACATCTAGACACTCAGCAGGTTCACTGAACCATGGTTTTCTGACACTCTGCAGATTTAGGAGTCCAGTTGCAATTACATCTGAGTCTAATTCCACGTTAGAGGAGAGAGTATTATAGGTCTGCCTCTGGGATGAGAGATTCAGGGGTGAGAATGGGGTTATGGGTTTGGTAGGGTGTTTTACCATTTGATTCTGCTCTAAAGGACCACTCAGTCCAGAACTGATTATTTCCCCACCTTTTCTCCTGATTTTTCCCTCTTCAGCTTTCTTTTTTCAATTGGGTCCCCAGAGAAGTAGGACATACAGCCAGAATTAGACTTTCTAAGGCAAAGAATGTGTAAAAGGGAAGACTGGTCTATTTTTAAGGCTTCAAGTGCAACATAACATCAAAACCCTTACTGCAATTTCTTTTAGAAGTGCAGTGGATCTGAGGTATAACTCAAGGTTTGGATGTCAACACCAAGTCACGCTATCTCAATCCATAGTAGCTGAATTTTTTTTTCAGTAGACTATGAACTATGCCTGTCCCTGGGTCATCTACCAAAGCCATAGCTAGTACAAAGCATTCACCTGCTATGTCCTCTAACAATGTCCCAAGGGCAGGACCTATTTTACATTAAATGCCCTCAGTACGGCATTGACTTCAAATGGGTAATGGTGAGACAACAAAGTCCTACCACTTTGCCCCCAAAGGACTGCCCAGAAGGACCTGAGATGGCAGAAACTCAGTGGTGATTTTTTTTAAAAAATATTTTCTTTGTGTCCATGCTGTTAGGGAATTAAGAACTGGGTTAAGGAGTACTACCCACCCTTCTGCATTGTTATTTGTCAAGCACATCTACAGGGTGGAGGTGCTCAAAACAACTGCTAAACCAACATGTGGGTGAATGCTTCTGAGTGAGTTTTAAGCATGTGAAATATTTCTTCTCTGCTTCCTTGTCTGAAGGTTTGTTTAGATATTTCCCATTTCCCATTATAGCTATTCATTTTCATTTGCCAAAATAAACAATAGGGATAGAACAACTTCCTCGGTTATTCTTTTTCATGGAACTGAAGCCTTGTGAATTTCCAGAATTTGCATTTTGCCAATCACAAAATGAAGAGAAAAGAGAAGCAAAATATACAGTGGTTCTCTGTGGCTTCTTTTGTAAAAGTTACTTTTAGTAAGTCAAAAAAACTTCTGTTTGCTAATGGGACACCAGAGCTTAGTAAATGACTCCATGGTTATTATCTGGGTCCCAAGTATACCACAGACTGCTACTAAATTTAATAACCACTAACTTTACCTGAAAAAGTATAGCAAACTAGAAACCTAAATGAAAAATGTAAATTTCAGTAATTTTTGGATTAAAATCATCTCAATCCTTTTTTACCCATATTTTTTCTTTTAATTTATTGTGATTTAATTACAGGTTAATAAATAAATGCCAAAATATAAACTTGGATCAATTGGCACTGACACTCAGGTGCAGTGTGTTGAGACAGATTCCCAGGTTCTATATGCTTTTGGAAAAAAAGGGAGCCTCAAGAGATCGCTGATAATGAAATGCAAAGTCTGAGGGCTCAGTAGCATAAGCACCATTTGCTTTTCAACCGCACTGAAATAGGTATTCTTGCCCACAACCCAAACATACTAGCACTTAGACTTACTATAAACTATATTCATATAACATTTGTTTCCGCAATGCTCTGGTAATTCACAGGGTTCAAAAGTCATATATTTTATCAAGTTAGCTTCTTATCAATAGAGACTCAAAGTTTATCCTTCTTAATTTTCTACTTTAGTGATCTTTTCTATTTTTAACATTTAATTTTTTAACGATCTTGTCTTGTACCAATGGGAAATAGGTAGAAGGGTAGAGATTCAATAGCAAGGCCAGCACACAAGAACAGAATAAACAATGTCAGTTTTCCTATTCAACGATCAAAGAGTTAAGTTTATTAAGGACTTGATTTCCAAGTTTTTTCCTTTTTTTCAATCTTCTGACTACAAAATGGACCACATATAACGGCTGATTTGCTTCTAGGATCCATTTCCCAGAAAGCAACTGTAAAATGGAATATTTGTCAAGTGACAGTTCTTCTTGATAGTTTTTGAGCCAATGACCAAAACCTGAATATCAGCCTAAGACAGTGCACTTGAATATAGACACTAAAAAGCCTCAACTCTCAGGGTACTGCTGTCCTCCAGAATGCTTTCCTGGTCCAGAAAAGGAAGGAATTTCATTAGATGCCCACAGTCTCTTCTAGCACAAAATGCTTTTCATTTGTTTGCATTTGCAGAGCTGGCGATGAAATCCAGGGCTTTCCATGTCTAGGCAAGCGTTCTGGGAAGGAGCTATATTCACAGCCAATTTTCTTCTTTCGGTTTACAATATCCTAACTGTCTGGGCTCTTCGGGGATGTATATTTTATCAATTTGACAACTATGTCAAAAATCAAAGATGTGGATTAAAATCACTAATTAAAGTTCACTTTTTAGCCTACAAAAAGGCAGAGACCACTGATAGTAAGAAATTGAACCCTTTTCCTTTCTTAGTGCTGGAGATTGAACTCAAGGCCTTCCATGTGGTAAAAATCATTTTACCACAGAACTACATAGTCCCAGTCTTCTCTACAGGGTTAATAGCCCATTATACAAACATAAAGCAAAATAACAAGTTTTCTTTTTATTTGCCTATACAATTTGTTAGGGAGAAGATTAAATATCTTGCAAAAGTTAAACAACACTCTCCCCTCAACCAACAACCATATTTAATTCAAACCACTTTTGCCAGTCTCCCTTGGGAGAAAAGTTGATCATCTCTGTACTGAGCACCAAAATAAGTACCCACCATTAGTCTGTGTACTTTATTAGCACTGTTTTAATTATAAGCCTCAGACTTCTTAAGTTAGAATGTGTTATTCCCATTTAATAATTTAAAAAACTAAGACTAAGGAAAACGATACAATTTACTGCATAGGCAGGTTCCTGCTGACTTCAGCAACACAGCTGTGATTCAAGCCTCATTCCAAAGTTGGGGAGACTACCTTAGACAAGGTAATCACCACAGGATCTCTAAAACTGTATGCACAAAGTGGGGGAGGGGAACGACGTTGAAAGGACTTTGAGGGCATAGGCACATGGCAAATGACTGGAAAACAGTAAGCACTTAAAGATCACTCAACAAAGAATGAAAAGAAATGCGTAAGGGTGAAAGGATAGAAACAGAAATCTGAAAAACACATGAGAAAACAAAGCCTTCGTCCTATCTCCCCCACTGGGATGACACTTAGGTAAGACACACACATTACACCCATAATATATACACATTGGCAGGCTATCAACCGTAAACCCAAGGAGCAGGCTGGTCCTAATAGTAATAATGCCTGCAGCTAATTTCAAACATTAAATGCATACCCTCACTCATCCCTCACAAAAGCCTTGTATAATCAGTATAATCAATTATCCCCTTTCACAGATGGAAAAAAAAAAAAGCTTACAGTAACAGAATGACTTTATTCTTGTCAGGTATGTACTGTAACAAAATTTGAACCCAGGCCTTTAGCTTGAAAACCCGTGAACTTAATAACTACCCATAAATTAAAAAAAAAAACCACACCTATCATTTTCAAGGCTCCACAAGCATCTTTATTGCGACATTCTGACTATTTTATAATTGTATAGCTTTTGTTGGATGTGTTTTTTTTTAAAGACAGGCTCTCCCTGTGTAGCTCGGACTGACCTCTAGCTCTCTTTTGTTAAGATTACGCTTTCCTTCTTTTCCTTTGTGTGCATGTTGGGGTAGGGTGACTGTGTGCTCTGATATGCCTGTTGAGATCAGAGACAACATGCAGGAGCTGGTTCTCTCCAACTCAGGTGATCAGGTTTGGCAGAAGTGCCCTTGCCTACTGAGTGGTCTTGCCTCACCATGGCCTCCAACTCTTGATCCTCCTGCCTCAGCTTTTCAAGTGCTAGGATTTC